GTGCCTCTGGCATTTATCAGTAGAGCTAGAGAGTTTTATAACACTTGTTCAAGAAAAGCAGAGACCAGGCTGACAGGTCAGAGCTGCCTCAGTCTTAAAAGGTAAGCACATACCTCTGGAATTTCAAAGGGGTCATAGGGCTACATTTTCTTAAGTTACAAGGAGTCAGGCTTCTTTACCAACTCAGTTCCTGAGTGTGGGGTTGCCATTAAATAAATAGGATCTCTGCCCAAGCTAAGGGGATAGGGCTGCCATACCAGAGGGGGCAGAACAGTGTCTATAGGAGCCAAGAGGGTTGGGGCACCAATGAACTAGGAGAATGAGGCTGTCCAAAGCCAAAGGAGCAGAGTTGCCATTTCAATGGGCCTGGAAAGCAGAGTTGAAGTCTAGGGTTGAGGGACTATTACCCAGAATCCACAGTGCCTGGCCAACACCCAGTATCTGGAGGGGAGGGTCACTGTCTACATGGTCATAGAGAACAGAGGATTACTTTCAAGCCTTGAGAGGCTTATGTAAATTGTTCAACTGGGTTTTTAAGTTGCTCAATGACTGTTTTATCTTCTTTCCCTCCAATAGCTCCCATTTATAATAGAATGTCTACTTGTTGCCTGTTCCACCATTGTACTATGGAAGCAGATAACTTGTACTCTAGATTTCCAGATAGAGAAATCTGGCCCCAAATTAGAATTTGGATTTGGAAGACCCATGGGAGAATATAGTGGGGGTCAAAGTGTTTTTGCACTTGGAAAGGTATGTATTTTGGGGGGCTAAATTGTGCCCCACAAAATATGTGTCAGCTTGGCTGGACCAAGATTCTCAGTGGTTTGACAATTGTGATGATCCCTCATGATGTGCTCTGATGTGATAAGCCAATATGAGGACTAATGTAACGATCTGATGTAATGGTGATCACCAATGGAGAAACATACAACACGTTTTTTTCTTTGTTGTTTTAGGTGCCTATGAGTTGGTTCTAACTCATAGCAACCCTACACACAACATAACATTTGTTGTGCATAGAGTCCTTATGCCATTCTCACAATTATTATGCTTGAGCCTACTGCTGCTGCCACTATGCCAAACTATCTTGTTGAGAGTCTGCCTCTTTTACACTGAATTTCCATTTTACCAAGCATGATGTCCTTCTGCAGGGAAGAGATCCTGTTAAGATGTCCAAAGTATGAGAGACAAAGTCTGGTTATCCTGGCTTCTAAGGAACTTTCTCGCTGTACTTCTTCCAACATGGATTTGTTTGTTACTATAGATGGATTTGTTTGTTACTATAGAAGTCCATGGAGTCCTGGTGTGACGCTGTGGGTTAATGCGTCAGACTGCAAAGCCATTTGAACTGCAAGGTTGGCGGTTCACACTCACCTGCGTCCCCTTGGAAACCCTATACAGGGTCGCTATGGTCGGAACCAACTCGACGGCACTTAACAACAACAACATAGAAGTCCATGGCACTTTCAATATTCTTCAACACCATAAGTCACATGCATCAATTTTTTTCTACAATCTTCCTTATTTATTGTCCAACTTTCACAAGCATATGAGGCTGTTGAAAATACCATAGCTTGGGTCTGGCACATCTTAGTACCCAAACTGATATCTTTGTTCTTGAACACTTTAAAGAGGTCTTTTGCAGCAGATTTGCCTAATGCAATATATCGTTTGATTTATTTGCTGCTATTTGCATGAGTATTGATGGTTGATCTGAGCAAAATCAAGTCTTTGAAAACTTCAAACTTTTCTCTATTTATCGTGATGTTATTTATTGGTTCAAGGAGCTCTGGTAGTGTAGTGGTTACAAATTGGCTGCTAACCTCAGGGACGGCAGTTCGAAACTACCAGCTGTTCAACGGGAGAAAGTGAGGCTTTCTACTCCTGTAAAGATTTACAGCTTCAGAAACCCTGTAGAGGGTCAGTATGAATCAGAACCAACTCCATGGCACATAACCACCACCAGCATTTATTGGTTCAGTTGTGATGACTTTTCTTTTTTACACTGAGGTACAATTCATACTGAAAGCTATAGTCTTTGATATTATTGTTGTTAACTGTCCTCGAGCCTTTTCCAACCCACAGTGACCTGTATAGGGTTTCCTAGGAGACGCTGATGAGCTTGAACCGCCAACTTTGCAGTTCAAATGGCTTTGCAGTCTGGTGCATTAACCCACAGTGCCACACCAGGACTCCATGGACTTATATAGTAACAAACATATCCATGTTGGAAGAAGTACAGCCAGAAAGTTCCTTAGAAGCCAGGATAGCCACACTTTGTCTCTCATACTTTGAACTACCTACCTTGTGGTTCGCAGACCAGCGCTGATCCTACAGTGTCACACCAGGAGTCCAGTTTCATATAATCCAGCAAATAATCAGAGATTATTTGCTCAGCATACCTACTGAATAAATATGGTGAAACAATACAACCCTGGCACAGACCTTTCCCGATTTTAAAGCATTCAGTATCCCCTTGTTCTGTTCTATGCACAGGTTATTCATGAACGCAATGAAGTATTCTGGAATACCCATTCTTCACAATGTTATCCATAGCTTATGATGATCTACACAGTCAAAAGCCTTTCTGTCATAAAGCAAAAGTAAACATCTTTCTGGTATCCTCTGCTTTCAGTCAAGAGCCATCTGATACTTTTATCTTATAAGAGATAACAGTTATAGATGTGAGCAGAGAAAGGGACACCTATTACCATCAAGAGAGAAGAGCCAATAGTGGAATGCATTCCTTGGATCTGGGTCCCTGCAATGTGAAGCTCCTAAATCCAGGGAATGACTAATGTTAAAAAGCTGGGCCTATAGATGCTGAAAGGAGACATGGACCTTTCCCTAGAGTCAGCACTGTGAATTCAGCCTTCTAGTCTCCCAAACCGTGAGAGAATAAATTTCTATTTATTAAAGCCATCCATTTAGAGTATTTCTGTTATAAGCAGCATTAGATAACTAAGACATGCTTCGCTACTTTTTTTTTTTCTATTATTCTTTTTCTTTCTTAAATTCCTCCCTTACCCCACCGTTTGTTTCTCTTCTTTTTCGCTCCTTTCCCATACTGTTTTTCTATCTTTACCCAGCACTCAAGAACTAGCGGCCCTATGCAGCCATACCCACTACACCTGAGGTCCCACTCACTGGGCCAGATCTACCACCTGCTCCAGCACCACTGACTCCATGACAGGCAATAGCCAACACCTTCCCAGCATTCCCTCAGTTGCTCAGTACCATCAGCAATAAGAGACTTGTGTCCACCCTTCCACCAAATCCACCCTGAGATAAGTGGTGAATAAATACCCAGAGCTGAAGAAGAAAATAGACAAAAAGCAAAACCTTCAACTAATTCAAAAGATGTGCATGTGGTGGTGGAAGGGTGATTAATAGAGAGAAGTCAAAACAAAACAACACCACAAATAAAAAGCATTTAAGATGTATACACAGAGTCCTGGTGCGGCTCTGTAGGTTAAGGCACTGGAGTGGAAAGTCGCTTTGAACCTCAAGGTTGGTGGTTCAAGCTCACCAGCAGCTCCTTGGAAACCCTATATGGGGTCGCTATGGATCGGAATCAAGTCAATAGCACCTCACAAGAAGAAGAAGGAGACATATACACAGACAGTAATCACAATAAAATAAATTGTCTCAAATTTCCATTTAAAAGTTAAAATTCTGAGAACAAATAAGACAACATGAATTCATAGTATTCACATAAGTACACAACAAAACATGACAGTATAAGGAAATGAAAGTGAAAGAATATCTAAAAAGATACACCAGGTTTACACAAAGAATGAGAAGTCACACTGAATAATTTCATGCTAGGGAATAACATGAAAATATTTTAAAAGAGCACTCTTCAGTATAAACAATTCAACAACAAGCCTACAATTGATTCTTAAATTCATCTCACCCCATTCAATTCATCTCAGGGTTTGAGCTTATTAACATCCTTTACAATCTGGCTCCTTTTGTCTGGTGTACTAGTATTCCTCCCAACATGTGAACATTTGAAAAGTATGGCAGCACCAAATGCAAGTCAGTGATAAAGAATGGTTAAGAGGTTAACAACTACTACAAAGTCAGGCAGTCCAACAACAGAACTATCTTTTCAGGTTGGCATCTGTTCTTTTAACATAATCAGTCAAGCAAAGTCCATCTAACAATACTATTATTGACCTCTTTATTTTTCCTTTACCTTTATTCACAAACACATCAAAATACATTTTCTCAAATGCTTTATGGAAATCTAGATATTCTGTATTCATTTCTTTGTACATGAGTCAAAAAGTAGTAATGCTATTAGTTCATTCATGCATGGGTTTAATTGAAACAAAATGTGTTTAAACATGTCTTTGCAATCAGTGCATGAGTACAGACAAGTTCCTTCAGTTGTTGTTACTTGTTTCTACCTGCCATTGAGTCAGGATCCGACTCATAGCGACCCTGTACAGAGTCCCATGTACAGGGTTTCCGAGGAGCAGCTGGTTGAGTTGGAACTGCCGGCCTTATGGCCCAAACAGACTTTGGAGTTCACCGCCTTAACCGGCAGCGCCACACCAGAAGTCCCTTCAGTAGTATACTTGCATTAGTCTCATTGTTGTTTGAGTTCCATTGAGTCGGTTCTGACCCACAGTGACCCTGTATAGGGTTTCCAAGGAGCAGCTGATGAGCTTCAAATGTCGACCTTGCTGTTCAAACTGACTTTGCAGTCCAGCGTATTAACCCACATTGCCACTCATTAATTAAGGTCTTAAAAACAAAAAGTGGTCCAATCAAAAAAGTGGCTTCAGGTGGGTCTGCTGAAGTAGTTAAACACAAGGCAGAAATGTCTGCTAAGAAGATTCTGGAGACTTTTTTGGGAATCCCAAAACAGTAATCTTGACAGATTTTCTCAAAGGATACAGGTTGATTACAGGGGCTGTTACAAAGAAGTTTTTTTAAAAAAAAAAAAAATAGAAAACTGCATTGGTGAGAAAAAGACCAGGAAAGTTACACCACGGAATTTGTTTCCATGATGTCAATGCACCTGCTCATTCTTTGAGGAGAGCAAGGGCTATTCTGTGAAAATTTCATTGGGAAACCTTAGCCCTGAACTTGTCCACATTACAGCCCTGAACTTGTACTTTCAGATTTTGTTTTCCCAAACTCAAGGAAAATTTAAAAAGAACATGATTTGAGTCCCTCAAGTTTGCCAAAACAAACATTCTGACATAGTGTAAACCAGTGTGCAGCATTCTTCAGGGAAGGGTCAGAGAGAAGCATACAGACATGGTAGCTGTGTGTCATAGACACAGATGGAGGCTACGTCAAGAAACAATTGCTTTATATTTTGATATTTTTGTTTAATAAAGGTTTCTATGATTTTATAGCAATACTTTTTACTTACCCTCGTGTGTGTGTGTGCGTGTACATTTGTATAGACACACCAATGTACATATACAGATATAAACATACATAAACAAATCTACTGACACTTGTGTACTAAATTATACAAAAATGTTTACATATACATAAATAATCACATTATACCTCATAGGTAGTTCCATAATGGCACGTAAATTGGCATTGCCTATTGGTTTCTGCATCTTGCTCAACATTGGTATAAAATATTACCCCATCTCCAGAGCAGGATACAATTTGCTTATCATTAGTGCAAGGTAAGAACTTTGCACTAAATATATTTGCTCGGTGTCCTGAACGAATTGTTGTCAAAACCTGAAACATAAAGAGAAAGTAGTTCTTGGTGATTTATTATCTCCTGGAATGAAATGCTCGTATTTACAAACATAGCCAATAATAAACTCTCATTAATATTTGCATTTTAATAAAGATTTATAATTTTATTCTGAATTATTATTATTAAAAATAAATCAGGATCTCACATTTCCTTTTTGCTCTTTCTTTTTTAGAAACAGTGTTATAAAAAGTTGTTGTTGTTGTTAAGTGCCATCAAGTTGGGTTTGACTCATAGCGACCCTGTATAGGATTTCTAAGGAGCAATTGGTGAGTTTGAACCTCCGACACCTTGAGGTTAAAACCAACCTTGTGGTCCAGTGCTTACCCTACAGCACTATACCAGGACTCCATTATAAAAAATAGTGGTATAAAAATCAAATATGTCCATTTCTACCTATTTGGTATTTCTGACTCCTTGATAAAATCTTAGTAAGTAAAGAACCAATATGATTGACTTCTGAAATTGACTATTTACTATGATTATTTTAGTTATTTCCTTTCATGGTGAAAAATAAATAAACTGAATGTAAATGACTCATAAAATAAAAATCATGAAATGATATAAGCAAGGACATAAAAGAAGTCCCAACTTCTAACTACTTAATTATATGCATAAAAACCAAATTCATGTGACAGAAATAAACTTTAAAATTTGTTTTCTAATAAGTGTAACATATATCACAGTTAAAAGGTTAATTCTAATATATAAAGAACATGTAAAAATTGGGGGAAAAGACTAAAATGTAATAGGGAAAAAAAGATACCAACAGATAACCAATCTAGAAACCAATGAATGTACTGCTATTAAGTGCCTTTGAATTGGATCCCATATAAGATTTCTGAGGCCCTCACCTTTCTCCTATGAAAGGCCTGGTGGGCTCAAACCACAGGACCATGTGGTTCTGCAGTTCAATATCTATCATACAGAGCCACTGAGCTCCCAAACCAATAAATGAATGGCCCTTAAAAAGCAGCAAAAATTATTCAATGTTGTCCGTAAGTGAAACACAATCGGAAGCTTTTCTGAGATACTGTTTCTTACTTATCAAATTGGCACTAATTAAAAAACTTGGCAACATTGTTTGTAAGTGAGGGTAAGGGGAAATAGGTGATTATACATTGCTGGTGGTGTGCTAAATGGCATGATGCCAATAGAAAGAAATTTCATGTTATCTCACAAAGATGTACCATTTATCCTTTCACCAAGCAAATCCCTTTCTAGGAATTTACCTAGAAAACACATCTCCAAGTATACAAACATTAATTAATTAACTTAAAAAACCACACACACATGCAACGAAGGGTAAGCCCAAAGGTATTGCTACTAAATCATAGAAAACTTTAATCAACAAAAAAATTATCAAAATGTAAAGCTATTGTTTCTCAATACATTCTCCATCCAGGTCTATCTATATACTTCTGAAGTCAGTGTTTCCATCTCTTTGATTCTACCCATTTGTATAAAGTGAAATATATTTATAGTTTTGAGAGTCTAAAGACTGAGTTAAATATAATGTTTTCATAAGGAAGTTAAGTAGATGCATGTAATAACTTCCAGCCTATACAAGAAACCTTAGAAAAGAAGGGTGCTCTATTGCAAATGAATATTTGCAATTGCTTGATTTTTAGCATATCTTTTTTTTCTTACATAAAATTGATTTTTTAAACTACTTTACCTTTCTGCTGTAGGGATTACTAATTACTAATTTAGTGTCATCTGAACCAGATAGAATATATTCTCCAGTGTCATTCCAACAGATTGTATTAACCTGAAAAGAAAACAGAAAAATATTGAGGAAACTGGACATAAAATGCCATCTTCCATTACCTGATGGGTCAAAATTTGTTTCACTAGTACGGTTACATTGGTGATAGACACTATTTACCAATTTACTGAAAATAGTAGTGACTGACACTTAACAAGCACAATGTCCTGAAATTTCCCAATGTGAAGTGTTTCTTAACTTTCATTGTCTGAGTTCATTATAACTAATAAATCAAATATCCAAAAATATAAAACAGGTCACTGGAAAAGGGGTTAGAAAAACTTAAGTACAAAACTGTAGTAATAAATGTTCTCTCTGGTACTGGTATAAAGACAGACATGCAGATCTACAGAATAGAAGTGAGAATCCCAAAATAAACCCTTACATATATGTCCAAATATTTTATATATATACAGTTAAGAGTGTCAAGACCCTTCAATGAGAAAAGACCAATCTTTAATAAAACTTATGCTGCAACAATTGAATATGCACATAAAAACAACAAGAACAAAAACAAAGTTGGGTCCCTTCCTCATACCATATACAAATATTAATTTAAAATAAACAACCAACCTAATATAAGAACAAAACCCACAAAACTCTTATAAGAAACCATAGAAATAAAGTCTTAAGGACCTTGAATTTGGTGAGTCTTAGATATGACATTGAAAAAAACTTTAGCATTACAAAAAAAAAAAAAAAGATAAACTGGATTTCATCACAATTAAACACTTTGGTCTATCAAAGGGCATTTTCAAGACATGAAAAAACCAACTACAGAATGGGAGAAAACATCTGTTAAGTCAGATATCTGATAATGGTCTAATATCCAGAATAACTGATAAAGATTCCGACAACTTAAAAACCATGACAAATAACACAATATGAAAATGAACAAATGAATAGCATAGATTTTTATCCAATGAAAATGGCCAAAAGCCACATGAAAAGATATTTAACATCATTAGTCATCAGAAGAAATGCAAATCAAAACCACAGTGAGATAACACTTTCCAGTGATTGTTGCTGTTGTTAAGTACCCTGGAGTCAGTTCTGACACATAGTGACCCTGTACAGGGTTTCCGGAGCTGTACATTTTTACAGGAGCAGAAAGCCTCATCTTTCTCCCGCGGAACTGCAGGTAGTTTCGAACTGCTGACCTTGAGGTTGGAAGCCCGACTCATAACTACGCTACCAGAGCTCCTTTTACAGTGATTGTTGTTGTTGCTGTTAAGTGCCGTCGAGTCGGTTCCGACCCATAGCGACCCTGAACATGGTTTTCCAAGGCTGTAAATCTTTAAGGGAACAGAAAGCCTCATCTTTCTCCTACGGAGCAGCTGGTAGTTTTGAACTGCTGATCTTGCAGTTCACAGCCCGATTCATAATCACATTTACAGTGATTAGGATGGCTAAAATTTAAAAACAAAGGAAAAGAACAAGAGTTGGCAAGAATTTGATGAACTTAGAATCCTTACACTGGTTTGGCCATTTTGGAAAACATTTTGGTAGTTCCTCAAAAAATAAACATAGAATTACCATGTAACCCAGCAACCCTATTCCTAGGTATATACAGGCATCCTTCCAAGATATTGTGGGTTCAGTTTCATATCACCACAATAAATCACCATAAAAAGAGTCACATTAATTTTTTGTTGTTGCCCAGGGCAAAAAGGCTATGCTTATCCATACTGTCGCCTATGAAGTATGCAATATAAAGTCTGAAGTATTGTGAGATTTATCAAAACATGACACATCTAAGGTACAACTACTAGTCTCTCCCCATCCAGATTAAAGAAAAGTGAAGAAAATCAAAGATGCAAGGAAACAATCCAAAGGACTAACAGACCACATGAACCCAGACCTCCACAACCCTAAAACCAAAAGAACTAGATGGCACCTGCCTACCACTGATGCCTCTGATGACTTCCCACATAGAGTGGGAAGATATGTGGGAAAAACTCAAACTCATAAAATGGCCAGGCTTATTGGTCTGGTAGACACTGGTGGGACCCCCTTCTGCAGCCTGGAACTGTGCTTTGTGCCAAACAATGGACAGGCCTATAAGGCAAACATAACACCAGGACAGTACGCATTCCTTACAGCAATCAGCCAGATGAGACAAAAAGTGCAGATTAGCCCAGGAATAAAATTCAGAAAGTAGGAAGGGACATGTAAGAGGGACAAATGTTGTTGTTGTTAAGTGCCTTCAAGTCGGTTCCGCGCCATTGCGACCCTGAACAGGGTTTCCGAGGAGTGACTGGTGAGCTTGAACCACTGACCTTGAAGTTCAAACAGGTTTGCAGTCTGGCACATTAACCCAGGGACAAATAGAAAACAGCAAATTCACAAAGGAAGTGGCAAAGTGTAGTTGCTCTGTGGGGATTACAATCAACATCATAAAACATGTAGTCTGTTGAATAAAAAACCAATTTGCTTTGTAAATGTTTACTCAAATCACAGTGAAACATTTTAAAAAATAAAAGTTTACACAGAAAGACAAATTGTGTACAAGCTGTTGGAAAACTGTCCAGGACAGACTTGCACCAAGCAGGACTGCCACAAACCAATTTGTAAACAATGCAGTATCTGTGAAGGGCAATAAAGCAAAGCACGATGAAACAAGGTATGCCTGTACCCCAAGAAATGAAAGCAGCTATCAAACACACACATGCACAGGCATGTTCATAGCATCACTAAACATACCAGCTAAAAGGTGAGGGGAAAAAACAATACGGTCATCAACAGATCAACAAACATAAGGTATAACCAGTCATTTCTCATTATTCTTGGCAGTTATGTTCTATAAAGTTGCCATGAACACAGAAGAAGTGAATACTGAATCACATTACTCCAATCACACTAATCCACAAGATTAGTTTCCTGAAAGTTTCTGGTCACTTTGCATCAACAGATCAAAATACAACCTAGCTGTGTTATGTGTTATTCTATTTAGAGATATTTTATATAATTAATATATGAGGGAAAAAATAAATAAATTAAAAAATATGAAGGAGCTTCAAAATGATTGTGGAAAAAATGGAATTTTACCATGAACTTTTTGAAGTCTCTTTTCAATTGCTGATAATAACTTAGGATTCACAGCCAATTAGTCCAAAGGAGATAGCTTTAACTCATAGCTGAACAAAGCTTATCTAACAACATCAGTCTTCTTGTGCTTAGGGACACTACCCAGCACAACAAGCACTACACTTGGGGGTCACTTTAAACAGTAAAATCACCAACAGAAAGTACAAAAATGTGGAAAGGTGACATTAAATAGACCATGAAAAAAGCACTCAATTACATTGTGAGTTGAACTCAAAAGGCACAGTGCCTCTTTTGTTTTACCAAAGCAAGTAACATGCATCATCTTACAACTTAAAAAGGTTTACCACTGTTGGGAAGCACAATAAAAAACATTTTCTGCCAAGCCAAACAAACTCTCCAAAAAAGTATAAGAGAAAGAAAACCGTTTTATTGTTGAATAAGCATTAAACCAGAATATGATGTATATTGTGGGCAATCCCCTAAAGAGATTGCAAAGACAGAAGATAATTTTATCCTTTTATATAGCCAGCCAAATGCAACCCATTCCACACATAGTCTAAAGTAAGAGAAGTTGATGGTACTGTTTGTTATATATAATTCATATACATTTACATGGTAACTGAAATACCCACCTGTGTTTCTTAATTACCTTTATTCAAAGGAAAAAATACCACACATCTTTATGACATGAGGTAGGTTTGCAAATTGGAATCAAACACCAGCTGAAATTAAGCTCTGAAACTATGAAAACTGGGACTAGGATATAGGGGTGCTATCACCCTTGTGCATCAGGGTTGAATCCTTTTATCACACTTATTCAGTCTGTATGCTGAGCAAATAATCCGAGAAACTGGATTATATGAAGAAGAATGTAGCAACAGGATTGGAGGAAGAATCATTAAAAACCTGTGATATGAAGATGACAAAATTTGCTTGCTGGAAGGAAAGAGTATTTGAAGTATTTACAGAAGATCAATCCTTTAGTATGGATTGCACCTCAATGTAAAGAAAACAAAAATCCTCACAACTGGACCAATAAGTAGCATCATGATAGAGAGAGAAAAGACTGAAGTTGTTACAGACTTCAATTTCCTTGGGTCCACAATTACTGATCATGGAAGCAACAGTCAAGAAACCAAACGATGTATTGCATTAGGCAAATCTGCTGCAAAAGTCCTCTTTGAAGCGCTTCAAAAGCAAAGATGTCAGATTGAGGACTAAGGTACACCTGACCAAATGGTATTTTCAATGGCCTCAGATGCATGTGCAAGTTGGACGTTGAATATGGAATATCTTAGAAGAATGGATGCATTTGAATTACGGTGTTGGAGAAAAATATTAAAAGTATAACAGACTGTCATAAAAACCAACAAATCTGTCTTGGAAAAAGTACAGCTAGAATACTTCTTAGAAGCAAGGATGGCAAGACTTTTGTCTCTCAAACTTTGAACACATTATCAGGAAGGACCAGACCCTGGAGACGTACATCATCCTCTGAACAGCGGAGGGTCAGCGAATAAGAGAAACATCTCCAACACAATGGACTGACACAGTGACTGCAAGAATTGGCTCAAACATAAAAAAAATTTCAAAGATGGTGCAGGCCCCTGCAATGTTTCATTCTATTGTGCATACAATCAACTTGACAGCATTTATCAACAACAATAACATAGCCAATACTGACAATATAAAAGCAGATACAGCTGACAGATGTAAAATAGAAAGATATAGGAAGATGGATGGGAGTTGAAAACATCATACATAGTGAGGATTCAAGAGGTAGTATCTCTACATGACAAAAGAAAATATTTAAGCAGGTTGCTTATGACACTGGACTGCAAAGTAGGTTTGAACCACACAAGGTTAGAGGTTCAAGCTCACCAGTCAGAAACCCTACACAGGATTGCTATGGGTCAGAACTGACTTGACAGCACTTAACAACAACAACAACAGAGAGCCCTGGTAGCATAATGGATTATGAGCTGGGCTGCTAACGGCAAGGTCAGCAATTCGAACCTACCAGTCACTCCATGAGAGAAAGATGAGGCTTACTGCTCCTGTCAAGGTTTACAGCCTTGGAAACCCTATACAGAGTCATTATGAGTCAGAACTGACTCAATGGCAGTGGATTTAAAGGATTTTCTTGGCTATAATCTTTACAGGAGAATGCCAGGTCTTTGTCTCAAGGAGTAGCTGGTGGGTTTCAACTGCCAACCTTCTGGCAGCCAGTTCCAGTTTCTCCATATCCTTGCCGACATTTGTCTTCTACCTTTTTCTTTTTTTTTTTTTGGGGGGGGGGGGATAACTGTCATTCTAGTAGGTATGAAGTGTTATCTCATTGTGATATTGAGTTTTATTTTCTTAATGACTAATGACATTAAGCATCTTTTAATATACTTATTTAAATCCTTAGACCATTTTTAATTGGGTTTGCCTTTTTGTTGTTCACAGTTGTATGAATCTTTTACATATTTTGCATACTAAACCCTTAGCAAGCCGTAGTAATGCAGTGGTTATAGCACTCAGCTACTGGTCAAAAATTCAGTGGTTCAAACCCATCAGCCACTCTATGGGAGAAAGAAGTGGCAGTCTACTTCAGTAAACATTTACAACTTTGGAAACCCTATAGAGCAGTTCTATTTTGTCCTATAAGGTAGCTATGAGTCGAAATTGACTCAATAGCAGTTGCTGTTGTTGTTGTTAGGCACCGTCGAGTTGGCACCAACTTATAGTGACCTTATGCACAGCAGAACAAAACACTGCCCAATCCTGGGCCAACCTCATTACCACTGCCACACTTGAGTCCATCGATGCTGCCACTTGGCCAATGCATCTCATTGGGGGTCTTCCTCTTTTTCTCTGACCCTCCACCTTACCAAATATGATATCCTTCTCCAACAATAGCAGTAGGTGGTATTAAACCCTTATCAGACATATGATTCCCAAATATTTTCTCCTGTTCTGTAACGTGGATCTTTCACTTTCTTAATCAGGTCCACTGATACACAAAAGTTTTTAATTTTGATGAAGTCCAGTTTATCTATTTGTCTTTTGTTTGTGCTTTTGGTGTCATAGCTAAGAATCCATTGTCAAAAACAAGATCTTGAAGCTGTATCTCTATGTTTTCTTATATGAGAGTTTATGATTTTAGTTCTTATTATTTAGGCCAATGATCCATTTTATGTTAAGTTTACTAAATGGTGTAATCATTTGACTCAAAAAAAAAAAAAAAGATTTAAATTAAGTTTTAAAATAAATAATATACTCATTAGTTGCTCATCAGAAACACTATACAGGGTCATCATGAGTCAGAACCAACTTGACAGCACTAAACAACATCAAAGCCTTAAACCTGAATATGGTGAGTATTATAGGCAATCCCCTAAAGAGATTGTAAAGACAGAAAATAATTTTATCCTTTTATATAGCCAGCCAGATGCAACCCATTCCACACATAGTCTAAAGTAAGAGAAGTTGATGGTGCTATTAACAAAATAATAGTATATTATTTTTCAAATCACTGATTGATTCATCCGCTCCCACTCATCAAGTTTGCCTGTTACTTACTGCCTTCTCATCTTTGGTTTTAGTTAAGTGCTGCCCTTTTGGTCTGATAGAATTGATTGTTCTAAGGAACACATTTTTTCCCAAATGTTACTTAAAATTCAAACTAAGAACCAAAGCCAAAACAAAAAGATCAGACTTACTAGAAACTAGAGGAACCTCTGAGACTATTGCCCTAAGACAATCTTCTAACTTGAAACTGAAGACACTCTTGGAGACCACCTTTCAGCTAAATAATAGACAACCCTATAAAATAAACAGTAACACTTGGGAAGAATGTGTTCCAAAAGGTATGTTTAAAAGTACAATGTTAGATCATTTTCTGTAATGTAACAGAATATCCCAATATAAGAGAAATGGTACTTTGAGAATACAAATGAATATACTGACTTTCAGTAATAACTAGTCCTTACTTAGGGAGCCCTGGTAACAGATAGAATTATAATTTGGGCTGCTAACTGCAAGGCCAGCAGTTCAAGTCTACAAGTTGCTCTGCAGGAGAAAGGTGAGGCTTTCTGCTCCCATAAAGATTTACAGCCTCAAAAACCCTATACAGGATAGCTGAGTCGGAATCGATTGGGTGGAACACTACCATCACCACCACCAGCAGCAGCCTAGCAAATTCAGATCATAGGGTTTGTTTCAGTAAAAGTAAACACCTTTCTCTCCCATTCTGCTTCAGTCAGCCACACTATAAGTCTTACAACCCTAAGGGTACAGATTTAAGGGACAAGTATTAAGATAACAAGGAGTGATATCTTATCATCATTAAATATAGGAAAACCAGACCCTGTATGCCTCCTTATGTGATATACTATCATCTGTTAAGTATTCCTGCAAAAAGTTAAATAAGAGCCAAATTAAGTCTTCAGGAGTAAATTCCAGTTACAGAAAATGCCAAGTTTACAGAAATAAGTTAAATGATGCTACAAGATTGAAACAAGCAAAGAAATCCAGAATGTCAGAGAGTTTATAGGAAAAGTGATTCACTTTCTGTAACAAGCCAATGGCAGGGGTCAAAAAGGAGAAGACTAGATAAGAAGCACAGCAATCAATTCACAGGTTTTGCTTAGATCCTGTTTTAAACAAACAATAGAAAGTTTTTTTTGTTTTTTTAATCAGGGCAATTAGATTATGAACTGAATATTAGATGATACCAAAAAAATACTGCTGATATTCTTCAAGATTATAAAATGGTGTTTTGATTATATAAGGAAATGTCCATAGTTGTTAGGTTGCCATATAGGTGTGAAATGCTAAGACATCTGGATTGATGTTTAAAATACCTTTTGAAATAAAAGAAAATAAAGAAATGAATAAAACCTTGATAATTGTATCAAGTCAATGAATACATGAGAGGTATGTTTGAAAAGTTTCATTAAAGAAAATTAAAACGGGTATTTTGGCCTTGTTGAATTTGAGATGCATATTAGAAAATGCAAGGAGCTCTGGTAGCATAGTAGTTACGAATTGGGCTGCAAACTGCAAGGCCAGCAGTTCGGAACTACCATCTTGCTCCGTGGGAGAAAGATGAGGCTTTCTGCTCCCGTAAAGATTTACAGCCTCGGAAACCCTGTACAGGGTCGCTTTGGGTCAGCATCGAGTCGACGGCACTCAACAACAACATTAGAAAATGCAAGTAGAAATGTAAATAAAGAATTCAATATATGAATCTGGAGTTCTAGAAAGAGGTGGTCGTCATGGTTTTTAAGCCATGGAACTAAGTAGGGTCACACAGAGATAGAGAAGAAGGTGCCTGGGAGGTGCCAGAAGAGAAATAGGTTTTGAAAGACATGAAGTTGAAGAGTCAAAGACAGAAAAGAAAGATGTAATTAGCCGGTGATATAGAAGAGAAGCAAGGGAGAGTGTTACAAAAACCAACAGGAAAAGAGGATACGCTCAATGTCTAAATTTTCAGAAAACTGAGCACTAGATTTAGGCATATGATGGTTACCAATGAGCCTAACAATATCAGTTTCAACAAAGTGAAAGAAATGAAAGCCTTTCAATCATCTCCATTAAAAAAAAAAATTCCTGTAGACTTTACTGATTTCAAAATATTCTTTCTATGTTTTAATGTAAAAATTTTATTCTCCCATATTATTATAGTTAGTTACAATCCTTTTTAGGGGAATGCAGGCATTTCATCAAACATTTAAACACATACTATTAAAATACTTCCTAGTTGAGAATCGATTATTACTTACACAGCCATCATGCACATTCAGGGTTGCTTCAAGTTTCAATCTTTGGATAAATTCTCTTCTTCCTGTGCAAAAAGAAAGAAAGAAATCCTACAATTTATTGCTGAGAAAAATGTAAAGGAGATAAGGCAATTCAATGAAGAAAGAATAGTCTTTTCAACAAAAGATGCTGAAACAACTGTTAAGTGCCATTGAGTCTGTTCTTCTGACTCATAGCGACGTTGTACAGGAGCAATTGGTGGGTTTGAACTGCCAACCTTGTGGTTCACAGTCCAATGCAAATCCTATAGAGCCACACCAGGAGTCCTAGCCACATTCAAAACACGAGCCTAGGCATAGAACTTACATCTTCACAAAGATTAACTCAAAAATGGGTCACACGGATTATGAGGGTTGGAAATACAAAAGTAGTTTTGTAACAAGGAAGGGAGTGATTAATTCTCCAGGATAGGAGCGGAGGCCTCTGGGACCATAAACAGAGAAGAGCCGAGAGCAGGACCCTACCCAGAGAAACAGAGATGCCTGAGATGGAGACAGAGATGAGGACGACGTGGAGTGATGAAGAGACTGGGGACTTTGGACCCAGAGAGGGAAAGGGACTGTGGGTCGAAAACTGGGGGGAGGAGGGGGAAGCGTAGGGGGCGGGTTTCTGGGATATACCCTTTAGGTGGTCGATGATGTATGGAGGGGATTGGAACCATGGCAGTGAGATGATATACAATGGAATGAATGTAAAACTAAAGTTCTCCCATGTAAACTATCATATAATTTTCAATAAAACATTAAAAAAAAAAAAAAATGGGTCACAGACCTAGCCACTGAGGGCTATAGCTGAGAGTGAAGTGGTCAGCTGGTCTGATGTGCAGGGAGGTGTGCATGAACTCTCAAACTTGCAGGTAGTACCCATTTGACCTAGTTTGAAGGGCTAGCTGACCAGAATTCAACCAGATGAAGATGAAGATGCTATATCCTACAGGATAGGGTTTCCAAGACCGTAATCTTTACAAAAGTAGGCTGACACATCTTTCTCCTACAGAGTGGCTAGTGAGTTAAAACTGTCCATCTTTTGGCATAGCATTCAAGTGCTTAACCACTGCATCACCAGGGCTCCTTCTTTAGCCATTGTTGTTGCTGTTCAGTGCCGTCAAGTTGGCTCCAAATCATAGCAACACTGTATAGGATTTCCAAGGAGTGGCTGATCTTGCAGTTAACAGCTTAGTGCTACACCAGGACAGATGCAAATCAAAACAACTAAAAGATACCGTGTGGTTGAAAACAACAAACAAAAAACCCTGCTGTTGGGTTAAGTGTAAAACAGTGTAACTACTCACCAGCTGTTCCTCAGAAACCCTATACAGGGTCGCTTTGGGTCAGAACCAACTCGACAGCACTTAACAACAACAACATTTGAAAACAGTCTGCTGCATCCTCAAAAAAACTAGAAATAGAAGGCTAACTAGGCAAAGACACTGCACAGACCCTCTATAATCAAAGATATGAGAGACCAAATGAAACATACAGATGAAAATTCGGGAACCCTGAACTTTAGAGGAAAGGACAGAGAACTGGACTGAGTGCATACTGGAAGGAGAAGCTGAGCAGGGACAGCGAGAGAGGGAGACAGACTGGTCAGACACAGACACATCTTGGGAGCAGCTTTGTTAACAGAAGGTGGCCTGGTAGAACTGATTCACATATGAAATGGGGAAAATGTGATTGCTTCTTTTTTCCACGTTCCTCTGTTGTGTAAAGGTGTAGTCACCTCACCCTCATCCACTTGCAGCTCACACCCTGCTCTCCAGGAGTTTGAAGCCATGTGGTCAGGAGACACACCAATGTGAGGTGGGGCCAGCTGTGCAGCTTCCATGAGCCACTCTGGTATCAGGATTCAGGCGACTCCGCTTCAGACCTACAGAACCCGCAGCCACCAGACCAACATTTAACCAATCACCCTGCTCCTAGCTGCCCTGTGGTCCTAACAGACCCTGAAACCAAGCTACACTGTTTTGTTGTTGTTGTTGTTGTTAAGTGCTGCCGGTTCTGACACACAGCGACCCTGAACAGGGTTTCTGAGGCTGTAAAGCTTTACAGGAGCAGAAAGCCTCCACTTTCTCCTGCGGAGCAGCTGGTAGTTTCAAACTGTTGACCTTGCGTTTGCAGCCCAATTCGTAACCACTACGCTACCAGAGCTCCTTTGTTTTATTTTCAGGTTTTATTTTTGGTTTTTCCTTTTGTTGTTTTGTTGTTTTTGTTTATTCTTTCTCCTCCTCCTCTTCTTTTCATTCCCTTGAATGACATCTTTTCTATCTCCAATGCTGTTCCTTTTTCCTTCATTTCACATTTCCCCTCTTCTTTTCCTTTTGTTCTCTCTTTATTACTCTCTTTCTCTTTTCATCTTCCCTCTCCCTGGGTATTCTAAGTGCTTGTTTTGTTTGTTTGTTTCTCTTTTCTTTTTTTTCCTTTTATGTCCTCTCTTACTAATCTCTTCTATAGTTCCACCTTCCAGTCCTTCTTCTCTTTCTAATTTATTCCTAAGTGTTTTATTTTTGTTTCTTCTTTTTATTTTCTCTCTTACAGCTCCATTTTACTGTTCCTCTATGTCTTTATGTTTCTCTGCTATTCCTAAGAGTTTTCAGTGACTAGCGATTCGGAAGTAGTTTGTCACTCTTTCTTCCCAGTCTGTCTTTGTCTTTGCAAAGGTTGGGAGCAAAGAGGAAGGACCAGTAGTTAGAAAATTTGG